GAATTCTTGAAAGTGCTTCTCAAGAAGGTAGCTGATTCTGAGCTGGTGGCCTTATCTCCTCCTTGTGCTTCACCCCAGTTGAACCCAAGCAATCTCAGTCACACACCTGACAGAAACTCAGACATGTGACTTCTAGGAACTCCAAGTAGTTAATTTAGGATGTGACTTCAAAAAAAAAAGTCCAAGCAGTTAGCTTAAATCATGTGATTTCTAGCACTTGCCTTTTTAAACAAGTGTTCTACGTTGTCCTTTCGGAGCTGCTTGAAAAAACCAAGTCCTGGTACCGCCTCATTGCTCCAAATGATCCAAGTTTAACAATCCTTTCAATGTGAGTATTCAATGAAATATTAATAATAAATATTAATATAAATAATAATGTCAACCCTCCAAAGTTTTCCATACTAACATCTAGGGACTTGTGCCAAAATGTGTGGGAGCTGCCCCACAGACTACTTCAGGAATGACCTGACAGAGTCACCCTCATGGAATTATCTCTTGCAATCTCCTAGCTATGGCCATTGCCATCCCTAGGTACCTGTTAGTGACAGGGTAGATGCACCAGAATTGGTTGCACAGTCAGAAGAAAGTTGATCTGGGAATTCTTAACACAGACTGTAGACCCCATGAAGTCTCATGGTGTCGTATCAAACACAGGCAACGAAACCACCTACTAATTACCATCTACACTTCCATGGGGCCACCTTGAATCTGTATTCTGCAATATTTAACAGTTAGCACTGAGGATGGCAAGACTGCGCATTATACACCAGGACTTTAATGGCCATGACCAAGAGTGGCTCAGTAACACTGTTACTGACCATGCTGGATAATTTTGAATAGATCTAGCAACTCAAAACTAAGTGTCCATGATGTGCTATTCCTCTCAAATGAGGTGCCATCCTAGTGAAGTTGCAATGCAACATTACTTGTGTGGCAAGCAGCATGTAATGGGTGCGGTTAAATGATCCTACAACTACTGGATCAGATCTAAGTTCAGCTGTCATTCCACATCCATGTGGATGGTGGTGGACAACAAAGCAGCTAATAGAAAGTGGAGGTTCCACAAATATCCCTGTTCTCGATTATTGCAGAGCTACTGATGCAAATACCTTAGCCGTATCTTTTGCAAACATCTTCACTCAGAAGAAGAACTCTGCCTTCTCTTCATCACAGATGTTGGTTATCAGCCGATTCTTTTCACTCTACGTGATATCTACAAATGGCTGAAGACACTGGATATTGCAAAGGCTGTGGGCCATAATGGCATTCTGGCCAAAGTAATGAATAACTGAGCTCCAGAACTAGCCGTGCACTTAGCCAAGTACCTTTATAACACTGGTATCAACTTGGGAATGTGGAAAATTGCACAGGTATGTCCTGTCCACAAAATGCAGGACCAATCCAACCCAGCCAGTTACCACCCTATCAGTCACTCTTGATCATCAGTAAAATGCTGGAGAGGGTCCTTAACCTTTCAACCAAAGGGCACTCCAAAGAATAACCTGCTTGTTGATACTCAATGCATTCTGCCAGTGCCACTTAACTCCTGACCTAATTCCTTTAGAACTTTGGTCTACAAGTGAGTCTAGAGCGTTGGGGATGGTAAAGGAAACGGAGTTAAGGCTACATCAGAATAATATGATTCTATTGAATGGCAGAGCATACTCAATGGGTCAAATGACCTAGTTTTAAATTTTGAGGATTGTGAGGATGCCCAACCACTGAGCACATCACAAACAGTTCAGTTTGGGATCTGCTTGTAGAACAATGGCTGGCCAATCTTCATTGTAGATTGACATTCCTAGGGCTATTTGCAAGAAAAATATCTCTTACCAATGGTATAAAATGTTGCTAGTGAATGTAAAAGAAAAATCCAGCAACTGACTCCTAGGGGTTATCAACAGTGCCTGTGGTTTCCATGCAGGCAGCATTGCAACACGTTTAACTAATTATAACTTCAGAATGACCCTGTGAACTTAAATAATTTTTTCTGATGAAGGATGTAGGCCCGAAACGTCAGCCTTTCTGCTCCTATGATGCTGCTTGGCCTGCTGTGTTCATCCAGCCCTGCACCTTGTTGTCTCGGATTCTCCAGCATCTGCAGTTCCTACTATCTCTGTGAACTTAAATGATCTTTTATGTTTTGGAACTTTTGAGGAAAAAGTGATGTGTGCAGTTAACCTGCGAAATACCAAATCTAGAAAACAGACATCTACTCCAATGCAGACAAACCAATTAAAAAAAACACATTAAATCATGTCCTCTCTGACGTTTATCCCAAATGCAGCACCTTAAATGGATTATCTGCTCATTAGTCTCAATGCCGTTTGTGCAAAAATTGGATTCTACATTTACCTATAGGACAGTAATGATTACACTTCAGAAGTACTTAGGGACATCCTAAATATATGAAATGTACTGTATAAATGCAGTATTTAGTTTTAAACATTGCAGCCATGTTTATGCTGTCGGAATTGTAAAACATTATACTGCTGTTTTATCTGCAGTTTCTAACAGCTAAGATTTTTTCAAAAAGATTCTCTGAAACACTGAAGCATGGTTAAATTTAATTATATGCCTAATACAAGACCTTTTGTGCCATTAAGCAGGAACAAGTTTGAGACAGTTTTCAACTTTACTCGCCTGTGTGGTAACTTAGTGAAGCAAATCATCTGCCTATACTAGATCATGCATGATTTTAATTTTGTCAACAGAATGAAAATGGGATAGGTTCAGCAACGGATGCCTTATGCATTTTCTATTTTCAGTTTGGGTTCAAGTTCTAGTGAAAGGAGACTGATGTAGTAATGCTCTCTCCATGGAGGCTTCTAGGCCTGTTGAATATTTCCAGCCTCCTTTCCCTCTCCAATCCCTTTCCACAGATAAAATTATCCATTCTTGGAAATGTCCTTGTAAACCTGCTGTATAGCCCCTCTATTGCAGTTGCATATCCTTCCTGTAATTTGGCAACTAAGACTATTTGCAATACTCCAGCTCTGGCCAAACTAGCCTTTTATATAATTCCAGCATAGCCTCCATGTGAGGTCGTTGATTTGCTCGCTGAGCTGGCTTGTTCTTCAGACGTTTTGTCACCAGCTAGTTGACCTCATCAGTGGAGCCTCTGATGAAGCGATGTTATTCTACTCTACTTGGAATTTATACTGTTTGGTCCGTTATGGTGAGTAGTGTCATTTCTGGTTTTGATTTGTATATGGGGTCCAATTCTATGTGTTTGTTGATTTGCATTATGGGTGGAGAACCATGCCTCTAGGAATTTCCATGTGTCTGTGTTTGGTTTGGGCTACTGTGGTTAGCTTAAACTGATGGCCTTCGTTGTCTGCGTGTACAGATATTAAGAAGAGTTCATCATGCCCTTTTGCTGCTAGTTGATGTTCATGTATTCTGATGAGTAGTTTCCTTCCTGTCTGTCAGATGTAATGTTTGTGGCAGTTGTTGCATGGTATTTTTGTAAACCACAGCAATCACCCCAATGCCCACAAACAAAGCTGCATTAGGACACTACTAAAATGGGCCAGGGGACACTGCAACACCCTAGAACCATGCAGGAAAGAGGAAGAGTACCTATACAAAATCCTCGCTATAAACTGATCCCCGTAACTTCATCCTCAGATGTCTACTAAACAGACAACAGGAGGACACAGTACACCCTAACACACTGGCCACACTGCCATATGTCAAGAACATATCAGAACTGACAACAAGACTCCTAAGACCACTAGGAATTATGGTAGCCCACAAGCCCACAGCCATTCTACAACAAACACTTACAAGGATTAAAGACCCCATTCCCATAACATACAGAACCAACGTGGTTTACAAAATACCATGCAACGACTGCCACAAACATTACATAGGACAGACAGGAAGGAAACTAGCCATCAGAATACGCGAACATCAACTAGCAGCGAAATGGCATGATGAACTCTCCTTAATATCGGTACACTCAGACAATGAAGGCCATCAGTTTAATTGAGACAACGTAACCATAGTAGCCCAAACCAAACATATATGGAAATCCCTAGAGGCATGGCTCTCCACCCATGATGCACTCAACAAACATGTAGAATTGGACCCCATACACACATCCATACAGATCAAAACCAGAAATGACACTACTCACCATAACACACCAAACAGTATAAATTACAAGCGGAGTAGAATAACATCGCTTCATCGGAGGCCTCACTGATGATGTCACCTAGCATGGTGACGAAACGTCTGAATGAGAGCAAGCCAGCTCAGTGAGCAAATCAACAGCCTCACCCACAACCTGAGCTACAGATCTTTTCCAAAATTTTGCTACCCTCCATGTTCTTACACTTTAAAATTTGGCTAATAAAGGCGAATATCTTCATATGCCCTTTCAACCGTGTTTTCTACCTACCCTGTTACTTTTAAGGATATGTGGACAAGTACTCCAGCTTCCTCCAGTTCTTCCTCAACTGTGTCCTTACATTTATTATGTGGTCCCAGGCCTTGTTTGCTAACTCCATATGCATCACTTTGCACACACCTTGATTGCAGATCCCCATTTGCCACTTTACTGCCAAGTTGATCCGTCCCTTGATATTGTTCTGTATTCAATGACTTGAATGAGTAGGTTGTCTTTCATGACCACCTAAACGTCCCAAGACCATAATCCCAGACTAAACTCGTCCCATTTGCTTATGTTTGGCCCATATTGCTCCAAACATTTCTCATTCATATTCTTATCCATGCTTCTTTTAAATGTTGTCACTGTACCCACAAAACCACTGTATACAAAAAAGTTGCCTCCATGTCTTTTTTAAATCTTTCTCTTCTCCCAGGCAGTTAAATAATTGTGAAGTGTAATCACTGTTGTAATGTAGGAAAACAGCAGGTAATAAATTAATAGTTTGATGTGTATTTAGTTCCATTACTCACATTTTATTGGTGTACGTCAGACCCAGAAACTAACTTCAAGTTCCTTGCTTTACTTTCCCTCCTTTTGTCTCTAGGCCAGTCGGGCAGCCAAGGATTAAAGAATTTTTTATACAGAACCCAAGCTGGGAATTGCCAGTCGTATTGGTTTCAGTGTTTACATTGAGTAGGCATTTCCATCTGCCACCTGTAGATAGCATGGTAAGTATTGCAAGTGACCATCAACAACCTCTGCCAGTATTTTGCCTTTTTTAAAAAAATGTATCAGTGTTCATTTATTCAACACGATTGACCAAAGAGAGTCTTTGACTAAACATTGAAGAGTCAAACTCATCCCAGATTTTCAAAGTGGTGTTGAAGCTAATTGAAAGAATTTATATGTAGTGGTTAAAAGAATCTGAACATTTTTGGTCATTAGTTTTTAACATCCAAACAAGTCATTGAGATAAATTTGTGGCCTATAAGAGTTAATTTCTTTTCCCCAATGACAGTAAGATAAAGGATAACAGAATGGTTATAACACAGAAGGAATCCATTTGGTCTGTTATCTATTCTGGTTCTCTCCAAGAGCAATTCACAGTCCCATTTTCCCTGCCTTTTTCTGCATCTCTGCAAATGGTTTCAGGTATTTATCCAATTCTCTTTGAATCTGCGTCAGATTCTCAATCCTTCTACCAATGGGTACAGTTTATCCCTGTATACTCTGTCTAAATCTCTAATTTTGAACACCTCAATCGAATCTCACCTCAATTAGTACAAACAGCTCAATCTTTATATATCCATGAGCATAGTTAAAGTTCCTCCTCTTTGGAGCCATTCTTCCAAGTCTTTACTGTGCCCTCTGTAATCCCTTCACATCCTTCTGAAAGTATGGTGGCCAGTGCAATACTCCAGTTGAGGTCGAAACAATGATTTCTGCATGTTTATGATAACTTCCTTACTTTCATACTTTGTCCCTATTTATAATACTCAGGATCTTGTATGTTTTCTCAACCTGGTATATCGCGTTCATTAGTTTATGTACGTACTTCCAAGGTTCTCCTCTCTAGCACATCCCTTCTAGGATTGTATCCTGTACTTTATATTGCCTCTCCTTGTTCATCCTACCAAATTGAAGCATGCACTTGCATTAAATTTCACCCACTAATTGTTTGCCCTTTCCATCAACCTGTCCATATCTCTTGAAGTTTATCACCATTCACATGCTTTCAAGTATTGTCATTCACATTTTGGAAAATGTGCCTTGTATAACCAAGTACTGATCATTAATGTATCAAAAAGTGAAAGGATAGTGAGTGTTGGAGAACACTCTCTTACATACCTTCCTTCTGTTGGAAAAGTGTCCATTTACCACAATAGCTTCCTATCGCTCAGCTAATTTTGTTATCCTGCTGATACTGTCCCTTTTATTCCATGGAGTCTAATTTGCTCACCAGCTTGAATGTGTAATTTCATCAAATGTATTTTAGCTGTCCATGTGCTAAATCAGACATGTTGTGGCTCAAAGTTTGGTATGGGAGAAACGCGTTTGAATTCATGATACATTGACAGCAGTACTGTGGGAGAAAGGAGCTGTTCCAAGTGGTTAGGATTGTGAATCAGAGATAGTAGGAACTGCAGATGCTGGAGAATCCGAGACAACAAGGTGCAGGGCTGGATGAACACAGCAGGCCAAGCAGCAT